CTGTGTTTTATTGTGCTTGACTGCTTCTCTACCACTGTGACTATGGCTGAATCTAGGTAACCCTGGTTGTGGGTGACACCTGTCACCTGGAGGCCACACTATGAGGTGATCCTATGGAGACCCTCTTGTATGCGTTTTAGAATCTAGTGTTTGTTTTATTTTTTTTTTCATTTTAGGTAGGCCATTTAAAATTTTACATTATTATTTTGTTTGCTGTGCTGGAGCAAACCCAGGGCCTCATACGAGTTAGGCAAGCTCTGTCACTGAGCTGACGCATGTCCCCACCATGTTCTCAGCTGTCAGTTTCTGGTTGTTGGTGGAAATGTCACTTCATCATTGTTAAAGGTGCAATCTTTCCTGTCACACCTCTGCACTATGGGTCCCCCTCCTCTGTAGTGTCCCCAGGTCCAGCTTGTCTGATCAACCTCAGTGGAAGTGGACCACATTCCCTGGGGCAGAGGCTGGCGCAGGCAGTGGAGTCTGGAAGTCCAATTGCCTCTCTCAAAATGTCCCTTCTCTCAGACCACTCCGTGCCTCTGTTTTCAGGGAACTCTGGAACTTTCAGCCTTGCTGGGGTTCGAGTCTTCTTTCTGGGGTGCACTCCACTCCAACCCCTACTCTGTTTCAAGTGTCACCGGCTTGATAAGGTGACATGATGCCAACAGCTTGCTAGCTTCCAGTATTCCTGCTGCCATTGCAGTGGGGTTCCAGGGTGGCAGAGGAGTGGCCACCCAAAGCAGGGCCATCCCACGAAGCAGAAGGCTCTTCCACTCTTCACACAGGCCTCCCTGATCCCTCAGGTCTCTGCCCACTCTTCACCTGCTTGGGGCTCTCCCCTTCCTATTCTGGCTATCTATGGCTGCAAGACTCACTGCCACAGAGATTACTAGCAAAGAGCAATATCAAGACCATGTGTTATGAAACATGCTTGTAATCCCAGCACTTGGGAGGCTGAGACTGGAAGATCCCAGCCTGGGAAGCATGGTGAGACTCCCATGAAACATACATACACATAAACACACACACACACACATACACACACACACACACACACACACACACACACACCCAGAACTTGGGAGGTTAGAGGAGGTGGATCTCTATAAGTTTGAGACCATTATAGTCTACATAGAGAGTTCCAGGAGCCAGAGCTGCGTAGAGACTCTGTCTCAACAGCAACAACAAAACCCCAAAACCCAAAACAAACAAATAAAAAACCCTCACATCTAAAAACAACCTTCAATCCCAGCACTTCGGAGGCAGGGCAGGTAGATCTGAGTTCAAGGCTAGCCTGGTCTACAGAGAGAGTTTCAAGCCCGCCAGAACTCCAGAGACAGAGGCTATCAAAACAAAGCACAACTAATGACAAAATCCCAACCATATCATCCTGCTTAGCAAACTTGAGTCTGGGCAGGGCTCTGCGTGGGTTTGCATCCCCAGGCATAATAGGCCTGTTTCAATATGGTTTCCTTGTGCTTCTGGTTACTGAGTGTTGACTATCAAACAAGCCGTGCCTTCTCTGTGCCCCCAGGAGTGCCATTGGAGGCTTGCTCCCCTCTCTCACAGACTGCTCAGAGCTGTCTCAGGCTCCCTTCCAGCACAGCTGCTCATTCCTGGCTCGAAAGACAAGAAGGGGAGTCTGCCAGTCTCGCAGCCTTAGCAGAAGGCATCACTGGCGCCATGTTCTGATGATCTCACTCTTGTCTGGTGTTGTCATTGTTCTCATGGGATGTGTCTGAGTCAGGGTTACTGCTGCCGTGATGAAACACCATGACCAAAATCAAGTTGGGAGGAAAGGTTTTTATGCTATTTGGCTTATGCTTCCAAATCATTGTTCATCATTGAAGGAAGTCAGGACAGGAACTCAACGGCAGGAGTGCAGCTTAATGGCTTGCTTATCATGGCTTGCTCAGCCTGTTTTTTATAGAACCCAAGGTCACCAGTTTAGGGATAACACCACTCACAATGGGCTGGGCCCTCCCCTATCAATCACTAATTAAGAAAATAAGAAAATGCCCTACAGTCCAATCTCCCCCCACCCCCAGACAGGGTTTCTCTGTAGCTGTCCTGGAACTAGCTCTTGTAGACCAGACTGGCCTCGAACTCACATAGGTCCCCTACAGGTCAATCTTATGGAAACACTTTCTCAGGGGAGGTTCTCTTCTCTCAGATGACTTTAGCCGGTGTCAGGTTGACATAAAAGTATGCAGCACAGGATGTTAACAGCTCAATAAAGAGGTGACTGAGTGATGACGCAGACAGCAAGAATGTTGAAAGCAAATGTGGTCACTCACTGTTCCAAAAAGGAGGAGCTTGCCGTAGTGCCCAGGTGGGCCAGAAAGCAGGGGGCGGGAGGAAGGCCTGGCAGAGTGCAGCCAGTCAGGACTGGGTGTGCCGGTGACCTCTGGGCACTCTGGGATGTACGGATAACCACGTAGCTGCTTGTTACATGGCCCTGGATTTGGTGTGAGTGTGAGACAGTGACGGGTGCTTGGGGCTCTGGCTCTGAATTCTTCGGTTTGTACGGGAAGGCGTGCCTGAAGGCCTTGTTTGCTGTCTCCGGAGTTAGCTCCAGTCTCTTCCAGCCGGTCACACCCCAAACACGTCAGAACATCATAAACTCCAGAAAAGCACGCCCGATTCAGCCAGTACACAGGAGACAGAGGCAGGAGGATTGCTCCAAGTTCACAGCCAGGCTGCTCTACAGACCAAGTTCCAGGCCAGCCAGGGTGATAGGGAAGCAGATACAGTTTCCATTCCTTGCAGAGAGAAATGCCAAAAAAAAAAAATGAGTAAAACTGCTTGTCTGTCATATCACCTAAAGTAATTTCTCTTTCTTTTGCTCCTGACCTGCCCCCCATGCTGTCTTCCTTCATGGTGGGTGATGAGCAGACGTCTGGGCAGCCCTCAGCCGAGCAAGGCCAGCCCCTGCCTGCCTGTTCGCTGTGTACTGCCAGGGCTGTAATAGGTCTGGCAGCTGGTGGCTGTAGATGGCAGCCAGTACCTGTTGAGGGAGTAAGTAGGGACACTGCTCATGTCGCAGGCACTCAGAACATGTCAGCAGGCATTTAAAATGCCAGGACCCAGCCCCCGACACCACTTCTCCACACTTCGGTGTCTTCTGTCAGTTTGGGGGAAACTGTGTGTCTTAGTCAGTGTTCTATTGCTGTGAAGAGATGCCATGACCATGGCAAATCTTATAAAGGAAAACATTTAATTGGGGGCTCGCTCACAGTTTCAGAAGTTTAGTTCATTGTCATCATGGTGGGGAGCAGGGTGGCACTCAGGCAGACGAGGGTGCTGGAGAATTCTACATTCCTGATCCACAGTCGGCAGAAAAAGAAAGACACTGGGCCTGCTTGGACTTCTGTAACCCTGAAGCTGACTCCCAATGACACACTTCCTCCAGCAAGGCTACACCTACTCCTAATCTTTATAATCCTTTTAAATAGTTCCACTCTTTGGTGACTAAACGTTCAAAGAGCTGAGCCTATGGAGGTTATCATTATTATTGTTATTATTATTATTTTTTGTTTAATTTTGTTTTTGAGACAGGGTTTCTCTGTGTAGTCCTGGATGTCCTGGGAACTCACTTTGTAGACCAGGCTGGCCTTGAACTCACAGAAATCTGCCTGTCTCTGCCTCCTGGGTGCTGGGATTAAAGGCCTGTGCCACCACCACCTGGCTATGGGGGGTATTCTTATGCAAACCACCACACTGAGGCAAGATGGATCTGAGTCAAAATAGAAGGCTTGTGCTGGGCTTCAGAACTGGTGGACAACAAAGAGGTGGCGACCAGACTTGACTGTTGAGTGGACACCAAGTGCCATGGCAGAGTTTGGGGAAGAAAGGGACCAGGAGTGGTGATATCAATCGTGAAGGGGCAAGAGATGAGTTCCTTTCATAATAATAATCATTATCATTTATTCTGTGCTTACTGGGAGCTGGCCCTGCAGTGTAGAGGCCATTGAACCTTCTCCCCCAAGGGAACCAGGGCCAGAGGGGCTGTACTCAGGTCCTGGGGTGCACTGACAACCCTGCTGAGTTTCTAGTGTTCCCTGTTAGCCTTAGGGAGCTTGGGATTGGTGGGCTCATTCACTTATGTCAGCACAGATGGGAGGAGGAGTCAGTTCCTTCTGAAAGCACTGAGGTGTGGGGACAGAAAGTGACCCTTGAGGCCAGCAGGCGAGTGACTGGGAAAGCAGAAGCTTCGTATGCAGGGGATGGAGCAGCATGCAGCAGCGTTGGCGATGTCTCTGGAGAGGGATGGTAGGCCAGCATGGCTTGTGGGAATGTTAGTCATGAACCTGAAGAGGTTACTGAAGTCTTGGACGCTGTTATGGAATTTGTACTCTGGTAACCAGGAGCCGCCACGGGGTATGGTGAGATTGCTTGAGAGCAGGGAGGAGGTTTGAGTTGGAGGGAATCAAAGGAGGCCAATGACACTGAGTACGGGAGGGGAAGGTGGCCTATATGACACAGTGGAGTGGAATGGAGGAGGAACAAATTGGATGTGACCGTTCTAGAGCCGAGATATGAAGGGGTGTTTCCCCCAGTGTGTGATAGAGACATCAGCTATGTGATTCATGGCCAAGTTGGCCTTTCTTTCCCCTGCCTCCTCCTCTCTCTACCCACCTGGCCCTCTGAACCCTTGATCCTGAACGGTGCCATTGTGTGTGAGTCAGGGGAGGTAGAGTTGAGACTTCAGAGTGAAAAAGACCTGCGTTCAAAGCAAGTCTTGTCAGTGTCCTGTGTGGCCTGAAGCATGCCACTGACTTAGCTCGGTGCTTAGCAGCTACCCTGTGCTTACAGAAACAAGGCCACCACACACCCAAGGCACTTAGTACTGTGCCGGGCACTCAGTGGGTGCTGAATTCTGGGGTGAAGTGTATGTTCAGAGTGAAGGCCGTTGATAGCTCAGGGTTGGACCTAGGCGAGCAGACTTTACCAGGAGGGCGGGCTGTGCCCAGGCACCTTTCCTTGACACATTTTTTTCTTAGGTCCCTCCAAGATGGCCTGGCTGTGGCCACTCTGTGTCCTGTTTCCTGCCTTCATGCTGTCTGGTGAGTGCCTCCCTCCCCTACGAGAGCAGTATCAAAAATTGGGGACCCCAGCAGCACCTTGTGGGGGCCAGCCCTCACTAGTAAGTGCCCAGCTTGAATGGCCCATCCTAGATAGGCCCTGGGAGGGCTATAGAGGAGTCTTGTTCTATGTGGGTGGGCTGGGCTGAAGGCTGGCGGTAAGGGTAAGGGTGGACATGCAGAGGACCAGCTGGTGGTGCGGTGCAGGTGTACAGACGTCCCCTGCTGTGTGTCCCTACAGTGACAGCCAACACGCCACCACGGTTCGCGAGCAATATGACATCAGTTTTGCTATCAGAGGACTTACCAGTGGGTGAGTAATGGTCCCTGTGCTGGGACTGAGGCTCCCCACCCACGTCTGATCACATGGACAGTCAGCCCTCTGCACCTGAAGTTTCACATTGCAGCTTTGGCCCCCACAGGCTAAAATAGTTGTAGCTTTTGTTCTTGTCCTTACTTTATAACCCAACCCCTGCCACCATATCCGGTGTTATCTAGAGGCGATTGAAATCAGGGAGACAGGCTTGGGTTCGACACAAATGCTCCATCACTTACATGAGGGACCTGAGTACCCACCAATCTGGGCCTCTGAGGAGGGTTCTAGCCCATCTGTGATTGGTTGACTCCGAGGCTATGGAGGACAGAGGCGCTCAGACAAGATTCCCACCCACTGGCTTGCCTCCCATGTTTTCCTTAGGCAGCAGAACCATCTCTCAACATCTCTGCATCTCCTAACCAGAGAGTGTCTCTCTTCTCATGGAGATGGTCATTAAACACAATTCTTTGCTTTCCTTAGGAAGAAAATTCAAAAGCAGTCATTTAATGTGCAGTGTTCCTTCCACAGAACACTACACAGTATTTCTGGTCTCACTAAAGCCCAGTGCCCAGAGGCAGGAAGGGAGGCTGGATGGTGATTGGGGGTGGGATCAGAATCCCAGATTCAAGTTGCACCTGCATCTCTGCCCGGTGGGCAGCTGGACCAGACCACCTTAACAGAGGTGGCCATGGACCTGGGGCAGCCGTGTTCATTTGCAGGTGACGTGGTCTTCTGGTTGGTGGCTACTGACAGTGATAATGATCCGCTGACCTATGGGATCAGTGGCCCCTATGCCTATTTCTTCTCTGTCAACTCAAGCACTGGGGAAGTGAAGCTGGCCAGCCCTTTGGACTTCGAGGTAAAGAGTGGTGGGTGGGGAAAGCCTGGAGAGAGGGAGTGGGCAGGGCGGTCCTTAGAGCCAGAGTCCTGGGAGCACGGCTGGGATCTCACACTGACAGCAGCCTCTTCTCCTTGCTGCTCCAGACTCTCCGTTCCTTCCAGATCACCATCTCCGTAAATGACAATCACAACACTGCAGTGAGTTGAAAGGAGAGAGGGGAGGGGGTGGTCGGAGGGTGGGACAAACAAGGTCTCAAGTGTCCACTTCTGATCATGTGTCTGTTTCAGGCAAGCAGAGAGTACCCCCAGCTGATAATACTTCAGTGTTGATTACTTTCAAAATTGTGTGTTCACCTTGTCAATTTATAAAATTACAGTGTGGGTTTATATTAATATAAGTAGTGATTTAAAATGTTTTGTTTTTATTCTATGTGTGTGAATGCTTTGTTTGAGTATAAGCCTGTCAACCGTGTGCATGCCTGCTGCCTGCAGAGGTCAGAAGAGGGAATTGGGTCCTCGGGGACCAGAGAACCAGGGTGCTGGGTACTGACCCTGGTCCTCTAGAGGAGCAACAGTGGTCTTAACCTCTGAGTTATCCCTCTAGGCTACGTGTCTATTGTCTTTCCAAATCTCTATATACCCCTTTTTTCTTTCTTTCTCTGAATGGCACCCCCAGCCCTCCTCTTCCTCCCCCTTCTTCTTCTTCTTGTTAAAGTCAGGCGTAGTGGTGCATATCTGTACTCTTAGTGTTTGGGAGGTGGAGGCAGGAGGATCCAGAGTTCAAGTCCATCTTTGGCTACATAGTGTGTCTAAGGCTAGGCGAGGCTGTGTCTAAACGACGTAAAAAGAGGAGAGCTGTTGTCAGTTCACAGTTTGGCTCAGTGCCAAGGGCTGCATCTTGTGATGGACATCTCGTTAGCAGTCATATGGAGCATGCCTGCAGCTTCACATTTGACTAATTTAGAACACACAAATATACTCTAGTGCACATGCCCATACATGAAGGTGGTAGAGGGAGGATGGGGAGGAGTGGTACATCCAGGAGAGAGGTAGCAGAGTTCTGCATGGTGTCCCCCCAGCAGTCTTCTGGCATCTTAAACCCCATTTTCTGGCCTCACCTGGGCTTTCTCATCTGCAGGTGACTAAGGAGCTACGCGTGATTGTGGATGACAGAAATGATAACGTACCTGTTTTTCAGGGTTCTGAATTCTCCACCAGCATCAATGAGGTATTCACAGTCTTTGTGGGACAGGGCATGGGGAGGGCATCTGGGAGTGTAGCATCCGTCTCGGGAGCTCCGTGAATGACATGTGTGTGAGGCCGAGTGATGGGGACACAGTTTACAAGCATCTCGGATTCTTTCAGTCGGAAAAGGAAGCAGAGGGAGCCATGTTTCTCATGGTTCTGGAAAACTAGGGGTCAGCTGGTTAGATGGTCACCCTCTCTCTGTCGTCTCTACTTCCCTTGCTGCCTCTGTCCTGAGGTGTGGAGGGGCAGCTCCGGCTCAAGCTAACACCTCACCACCTCTGCGGCTTCAACAGGAAGACCAGCCATTTCTGTTTCCACAGGCACAGACCTGACTTTCAGCTACTCTCTCTGTGCCAAGTGTTTCCTCCTAGAAGCAGTTCGGAGGTCTGGAACGGCTGCTCTGTGCTGTGGCCCTTTCCTCAGCCAGACTCCTTCACTTTAACTGTTTTCACTGGAGGTTCCCAGGACCGCCTTTACTAACAAAGTGTTGTCTCCGAATCCCCAGACCACGTGGTTGGGAAGACCTTTAAAGTGGGGTCAGGCATAGGATCCGCCTGACAGGCCCCACCCAGCACCCACGTGCTGGGCGCTGTTCTGGGTCCTCACCCCACCTGGTGAGCAAGCCTCCCCTGGGTGTGATGCGCCAGGTGTCACAGTCTAGAGCACAGGTGGGGAAAACAAACTGCAAGGGACAGTTTCAGAGACGTGAAACTCCAAAAATGACAAGACAGGGAAGAGTGGAAGAAAGTTCCCCACAGGAGGGGCTGCTTCTGGCTTCGAGTAGGCGACTTCCAGAGAGAGACCTGGATACCAAGGGGCCTACCAGGGGATCTCCAGGGAAGAGATGTTCCAGGTTGGGAAACAGCACGTGCAAAGGTCCTCAGGTAGTGATAAGGCTGGCTGACCTCAGAGGCTGGAAGGCAGAGGCCGGGGAGGGGGCAGAGACAGGTAGCCACCTGACTTTTGAGGGCCACCGAAACAGTTTGGACCACATTCTGGGAAGAATGGGGGAACTTTCAGAAGCCAAGAGTGAGGAAGTTTGATTCAGGCTGTGGCTAAAGGGAGCACATGGGATACTGTGCAGTCAGGCTGGGTTCTAGAATGGTTTTTTACTTATGGTCTTGAGAGTCTGTATAAACCAGCTCTGGGGATATGAGGCT